ATTGGAAATGTTTCTGTCTATGACAAGTCATAGTATTTTATAAAGTCTAATGATTCCGTCAGTAGAAATGTGCATGATCGACCTTAAATGCTACAAGTGTCTTGATGACGTTTGACTGTGCTGCCTTCACTTTAAAGTCCTTATTTATGGAGTGAGTCCAAACCAGTCTGCTAAGGGTAGACTTGGTGGTTTTGGTTTGCCAGGACTTGCATTCTGTTTCAGAAAACGAAGAGGACGAGGGGGGTGTATCCCTTTGGAAAAGCTTTCATCTTCAGAGTGATTTGCCCAGCTCGTCCTTTCACACAGTGATGCTTTTTTAGGATTATTTCAGTATTCATTTCTGAGTGTCAGAACTGAAGATAGCAGACTAATTCCATTGATTGCTTTCTATCTGGAGTATGTAAAATGAGTATTTTAGACAGCAAAAATTCTTAAGCATTTTCAATGTATTTCTCATAAGTGATTGCTTTACTGGTTCCATTGTTTGCTTATTGCTGGTCAGTCTATAACAATCTCTTTTGGGGGGGGAGGGTTAAAACAAAACCAGCAATTTGTGTTAGTGAAGCAAATCACTAGTGGTTATAGGAATGTTTCTATGACAATTGGGGCCACTGCTGCAGAACACTCTGTAGTGCTTTTTTTTTTGGGTTTAAATAAAGAGTATACTTCCCTGTGTAAAAGATGGACTGCCAGTTCATGAAGAGCCCTGTAGAGCAGTATGGGGGGAAACCTGAACTCTTGATGAGGCTCTCAGAAGTCTTTCTGGTTAACAGTGTCCAAGATTTGCACAAGAAGCAAGTGTGTCACTGTGTGGTCTATCAAACTCTCAGATGCTTCTTTCAGGTATTGTACTGCTATTGTCTTACTGACTTCCCCTGAGAAAAACGTGGCTTTGATCTTTTATACTTTCATGAAAACATCTGGAGTTTTTCTTGATAGTATGTTTTGTTTCTTCATTGCCTCCCCAAATCCCAGCTTGTCAGTCCCTCTGAACAAAACTAACATGCCTTCAGTAGCTACTTTGCCACTGGTCTTGGTGCTGCTGAGAGTCCCAGTGTCCTTTTTTTTTGTGTTCTCTCACTGTTATTAGTGAAAAATGTGGCAAGTACCCCTCTTCAGCTCCTGCCAGGGTGTGCTATAGCCATGGTGTGCTTAACATAGTGAAGTTCATTGCTCAACAGATAACTCTTTCACACTTTTCTCCCTTAATTTATAACTTATTTTTTATTATAATTACCAGTATTTTATCTTGGTTTCTAATTATTATTCTAGTGACATCTGCTTGAGCCATGTTGTTTTCAAAACAAGATTCATATTGTTTGTTGCTGGAATAATTTTCAAGAAGTCTCAGTGCTGACTTTAGGCTTGAGATAAAGGGGAGATGGTGGCGAGAACAGTGAGGCCGATGGAATGAGATACGGTGAGAGACAGTGGATGTGACAGTGAACTGCAGGATAAACGTAGGATAAAGCAGAATCTGTCAGTGAAGAAGTGAGATTAAAATAAAATGTTGGCTTGAAATGGAAAAAAAGAGAAATAGGATGCATAAAAAGGCTGGAAAATGCACGTGAAAGAGGGAGAGAATTACGCCAGCTATGGAAGAAGGCTGTGAGATGAAAATACCAGAAATTTCAGTTAAAAAAGAAAAAGCCAAAACACCTTAATACAAAGATTTATTTGAGGGCTTTATCAAAGGGCTTAAATATATGCCTGGGTTTAAGCACCTGTCTTTTCCAGCAATTCCTCAGGATGTTGCAGTCCACATAGTGTATGGCCTGATGCAGAGCCTTCTGAAGATGGTGGAGCAGAGTCTCTTGTAGACAGTGGGCTCTGGGTCAGAGCTGTGTGAACATCTGAACAGGTGCTGGAGAAAGCAGCAGGAGAATAACGTATGGACAACACCCCTGCCATCAGTAAGGAGATGGCTTAGCTGATTTAATAGCTTTTTTTCAGTTTGTGCTTGTAACAGCTAGGTTTGTGATATTTATTTTAGTATTCATGTTCTTGCAGTCCTTTTTACATTTCTCTGTTTTTCCCTGGCAGACATCCCGCAGCTCCATAAGTCTGGGGGAAGAGGATGGTTAGCATGTTGTTGCTGTGGGGATTTGAGTCTTAATGCTCTGTATTGGTAATGCTGGGCATATAATTTTAAAACTTGTGTGCTATAGAAGCAGATAATTATTTCCCTGCTGCATTTTATACTCTGGTTTGGGAAAGGAAGAAATTTCAGAATATTGAAAGAAAGAAAAAAGTTATGACTTGGGGGACTATTGGAAATGAAAACAGAAAGAGGAGAGTAATGGGTGTCAGTCTTGTTATCAGTCAAGCTCGAAAGAGACAGCTTGTTCTGTTGAACACCAAGAATGTTAGTAGTCAGCCAACCACTTATGCAGGAAGAAAACCCTAGACTGAAAGGTAAGGTTCAGAGACATCTGTGTATGTTTCTGAAATGAAATTGAATTAGGCTTGCTATTGAATTATGCTTGTTATTGAATTATGCTTACTGATTGTGTTACATATCCGATTTTTGTTTGGCACAAGTTATTCATATGATTTCTAGTTACTTTATTTCTATTGCAGGATCTGTTTCTTTTCTGTTCCAGTCTTAGGTGCTTTTTATGTGTCCAGGGTTGACATGGGGCGACTGTCATTTGGCAGAAGGCTTAGCAATGCTGTGGCATATGGGTTGTTTTTTTTCCTTTTTTCCTTATGTGCTATTTTCCACTTACCCAGAAAGAGGAAGCAGAGCTTAAGGGTGGATGTTGGGGTACCTGCATACATCTGCTATTTCTGCAGCAGATTTAATGTGTAGCTTTGAGAGAAGTCATAGAAGAAAAAGCCCAAAGAGGAGGCTGACAGAAGCAACGTTCTCAGCTGTGGTGAGCTCCTAAGAACTTACTAGGGTCAAAGAGACATTCTAAGTCCCTAAGGCAGAGCCTTATCTACTTGGTAACTGCAGTTCATTTGTGTGTAAAGTGGGCATAACCCCTGCATTGTAAAACAAAGGCTGTGGTTTTTCAGGTAGTCCTTATGTAGAGCTGTGGAATCTTAAATTATTAATCGTACTGGAGAATAGTTGTAGAGGTCACCAGTTCTAATAGTTTATTTCAAACAGGAGTAAGTTCATGTAGAACAGTTTGCCCTTATAAAATCTCTGACCTTGCCTATTCAAACTTCCCTACAAATGCATCATTTAATACAGGAAGCTCCTCAGGGAGGGTTCTTCACATCTGCCGTCATAATTTCTTATTTCCTAAATGTAGCAATTTGTACTTGATTATTCTTACAAGGATCTTGCCTCCCTTCCCTCCCCCTGCTCTGGCATGTTCCTTTGTGCTGCTGCGTGTTGTGTAGCCTGAAAGCGGCATCTGAGAATGTTTAAAATCCAAAATTTTCTTTGTTGTTATTCTGCTGTTTCTTAGCCACTCATTTCTAGGGGAGGGCATGGAGGAATCTGGTCTTTTATTCTCAGACTGTTTTCCTGCGGGTTGTTAGTGACAGCAAGTTGTCATCATTTTACAGCCATTCAGCAAGTAACAAAACTGAGCTGAATCTCTCATTTCAGTTTCCTGAGAACAAGATTTCCCCAAACAAAAATACACCACCACTTCTTGGGGCATTTAACATCTGTAGTAGTCGAGCAAAGGACTGAAGCCCAGATTTTTAAAGATGCTTAGGTGCTTGACTGTCACTGGAACTGAATTGGACCTAAGTACTTGTAAATAGCTTTAAAAATTTGACTATTGAAGAAGTCCCTTATCCATCTCTCTTGGCAGTTGTCCCTTCAGAATGGTAGTAAGGCACATCAGCAAGGTCACAGAAGATGCTTATAGTCCTGCTTTCCAGTAACTGCACATATTAAATGAATTGCTGCATTCTAGCCTGGCTTTCATGAAATATGTCTTTGGAAGCAGATTATTTGTATTCCCTAGAAGGAAAGAGCCTTCGCCTGTGTGAAACCAAATATTTAAGACGGACAACTTTTTAAAAGCATGCAAAATTATACTGTAAAAATACCCACCTTTATCGCTTATAATCCATTTTTTATTAAAACTGGGAAATAAAAGTAAAATTCACATTTAAATTACTTTCTGCTGTTTCTAGGGGATACTCTTTGCTTTCCAGTTGGTTTCACTTTGCTGTTGCTCTACCCATTTTTGGTGCTGCTGTTCCAGACTTGCATAACCTTCAGGGAAAAATTTATTCCCAAACATAAAACCTGTCTGGATTTTACTTTTTTAATATTTAATAAAATTTAACTGTGTGTTAGCCTTCTGAATCACTTTATTTTTCAGTGAATCCAGAATGTTGTGCTGGTGCTGTCTGAGGAGTGAATGCATTTGAAGGGGGAGCCCTTGGTATCTGTCAGGAGTTCCTTCAGTGCAACTATAAAGCAGGAGCAAGTGCATGCAAGGCCATTGGCTTTGTCCCTTAGGATGTAAAGAGCAACCACTTGCAGGGCTTCCCTGTAACAAATGGCACAAACTTTGTAAAGAACTGGTTAAACTGTTCCTTGTTTAATTAACCCACATTTTAGTGGAGCACGGTCGTGTATTTAGTTTCAGATTTGGTGGGGTTTGTTTTTGAAGGAGGATGGGAAATAAACATTAAGCAATACAATAAAAAAAGGGAAGGAAAGTAAACGATCGTGTTGCAGAAACATCGTTGTTTGACATGCCATTCTGATTGACTGCCTTGTCTTTCAGCTTTCTATTAAATGTCTGAAATCTTTGAGCAAGTTGCCGCTGTGTTCTTTAGCAAGTTCACCTCCGTTCCCTCCTTCCTGCCCCTCACTCAAGTACATTTATCAAGGTGCTGAGTTGGAAAGGTTTGTGCCGAATGCTTTGAGGAGGGACGAAGGCACACAGCATGTGCCCCCTTCATCTTCATCTCGCGTTAAATAAAGCAAATCCCAAACAGGTTAACTGTCAAACAGTTATGCTCCATCTCTTCAGTCTGCTTCTAGGTGTCCCGAGGGGAGAGTGGTGGCCGGGTGGGGCGATGCCATGGTCCCGTTGGGCCGGCGCAGGAGGAGAGCGGGTATGAGTGCCTGAGGCGGCCGAGCGGCAGGGTGCCAGCATGGCGTTCGCCCAGTCGCACATCGTGGCGGCGAGGAGGCATCAGCACAGCAGACTCATCATTGAGGTGGATGAGTACAGCTCCAACCCCACGCAGGCTTTCACGTTCTACAACATTAACCAGGGACGTTTTCAGCCCCCACATGTGCAAATGTAAGTATTATAGTTTTGTTATTGCTCTAGCACAGCCTTCTGAGTTGTTATTGACTTGTCGATGTGGTATTTGATGGACCAGTCAAAAAGAATGTGAAGAACACTGTTTTGCTGCCTTTCTAATAATGATTACTCTGATGATACAAAATCAGGCCATTTGGAAAGTGTAAGTACTTTATTAAGGGATGGGAGAAAGATCACTCTGCTAGCGTAACTTTAATACACAATGCTTGTGTATTAAGAAGAGAAATAAACAACAAGCGATGCTAATAAAGTCAGAGATGCTACAAGGTTGGTACTTTCTGCAATTTTAATCATGTTTGTTTGCATTGTGCACTGGCTTATTGATGTAAATAGCTGTTGAAAATACCAAGCCTGTATCTGTACAACACATACTGTTTGGTTAGTTATATTACAGCTACAGACATGGGAGAAATCACATCAATAAATAAAATAGTGTGGGCACCCATCCGACAACTTTCTTCCAGACCGATGTGCTGAAGATGCCAAGTGCTTAAAGAGTAGTTAAAATAATGTGTTTGTTTCTGGTTTCTCATATAATGACAACATCAGTAAAATTAACTGCTCTAAATGATTTACTCGTATTGTAAAGTGGAGAATTATAATTACAAAATGAAACCTGCCATAAAGTTTAAAGCCATAAGGAAGAGAAAAACAGTAAAGCTATTGCAAATAGATTAAGTATAAAATTCTACTGTAAAATATTTTTATAGGGAATAAAAGCGTCTGCACCATTTTATTGTGTTTATTAAAGAGAGAAGCAGCCTTATCTTTGGATCAGAAGGCTTTAATTTTTTTAAAGGAAAATTTACTTCCTTTGGAAAGGTTATAAGTAATCATCTCATTAACCTTTTTGGTTAATATAATTTGGTAATTTACAAACATAGGCCATGATTTCTTCAGTTAAAAAACCTCAGAAATGACTGAGTTGAATGCTATGTGTCTATTTAGTGAATGCTTACATACATTCTTTGGCATATATTACATATGAAATTTAAGAAATCTGTAGTTTACCATACATACCATGGTGGTAAGCAAACACTAAGTTTTTGTGGGCAATGTATTAGCTTATGGTCTGTGTTGAGGGTTTTGGGGTGCTGTTGAAATGCAAACAGGAAAATGAGTGTCAGCACTGGGAAACATCTTTTGTTTACAGAGCTGGCAAATGGTACCAAAAGTACAAACAAACAAATGTGAGTTCAGAAATAGGTTTACAAATGAAAGTGCCAAATGCAGGTTGCTTTATTTGTGGAGGCTTAGCTATTCTTTCTGAGTATTCAGACAGTTCCTGTGCACTCATGAATTTGTTCACTGGTCTTAAAAGCTGAGTGTTTTTTACTGGGCTGAAAATATTTTATTTATTAGTATCCACTTGGGACTCAAAAATACACTGTTTAAACTTCTAACCAGTAACAAATCATAGTACCGGAGGGCTCAGACAATCAACTGGGTGATAGAAGTTCAGCACCTAAGCAAGCAGTTGAAAATAAGCTACCCTTAGAAAATGGTACCTCAGAAGAGTTTAGCAGTCTCTCATGAATGATTGATACTTTTGAGAAGCTTGTGCAAATAGAAAAACAGGATAAATCAATTGAAACACTTACGTCAATCTGACCTACTCTTTCTTGTGGTACAGAAATTGTAAATATGTTTCTGAATACCAGCAGGATTGCTTTTCCCTCCTACCAGTGAATAGAATAGTAACAAAGAAGGAAAAAGTAGACATAAGAAGTGTAACAAAAGTGCCTTGTGTTCACGTGGTTTTTATGGGTGAAATCTTAGCCCAGCTCTAGTCTATGCAAGTTCTGTCGTTAACTTCAAGGCTGTGAGGCTTTGCCACGTCTGTGTGTATTGTTCTGACTACCTAGTTTAGTGATGTTGCAGGCAATCATAAACAGCTTTCACATAGACCTGTTAACAGCTGAGCTCCTAGTAAACTGCCTTAACCACGGGGGGTTTTTTTGTACTCCTTTTCTTCTGAATTCAATCTCGAGGCTCTTCCTTGGTCTTCTGTGCAGTTTTATATTGTTTCACTTTATAGCACCCATAACATGTTGACAGCTTTTTCCTGGCACCATCTTAGTCCAGAATCCTTGTGCTTGTGAGATGACTGGGTTGCCACTGACAAGAAGGGTGGTACATTCTGCCAGTGTTTTCAAGCCCATCGGTCATTTCTGAAAGTTTCTGCCTTCCTCCTTTGTGAAACCACTAAAATCAAGTGTAGAAACTAATCTCTGGCAGTGTTTTTGCTTTGAAGTTTTTCAAATTGCTTTTTAGTTTCTCTGCAAGTTTCATGCTGATTTAAAGAAAAAAAAAAAAAAAACCATTTGCACAAAAATAACCAGCAGATCTTTCTTCCTCTGCTCATGCTGCAAGCAGTGCATGGGGTGTTGGTGTGACAGCTGCTGTGGGAATGCGTTACACAAGAATATGGGGATGGAGCCTTCAGAAATTATTTCCAGTAATACAGCTTAGATGCATTTGTGAAACTTGACATATGTTTTTACCTATATATGGCCTCAGTGTGTGCATATCACTTCAACGTGAAAAATCTGCATCTCATTTATTTGGTTGTTTTTTTGTTGGTTTTTTTTTTTTTTTTTGTATTGATGCCTTTTCCCATGGAAATTCTCTGGCCCGTTGCACATGATTTAAAAGTCATACATATCTCAGCAACCAGGAAAATGTTGTCCACGTCTTCCCCATCTCCATCCAAACCATAAGAAAAAAAGCATATGTATTATGTGCTACATGGGTTGCCACAGGAAGGCTGTTGTTTTTTTCTATTCTGGTTCAGAGGAACAACATGTGAAATTCATGCTGCTCCCCAACACCCAGCTTACTGCTGTGCTGAGCTTTAAAAGATTTCTAAAGAAGCAGCAAGAAATGGTATTTTAGGCCAGTCCGTATCCTTATGTTGTGCCAGAGTAATATGCATAATTTAAAGCATGCTTACTAAAACAACCTGTAACTCATTTTGGGAGGTGCTGCTCAGGAAAAGCTGTAATCAGAAATTTATTTATTGAATTGATGTTTAACCTTTTTATCTTGAACAGCTGCAGTGATAGCCAGGGTTAGCTCCTCATCATTTTTATCCAGCCATCCCAGTTCATTTTGTGGAGGAATTCCATGGAATGAGTGCATTTTTCTTCACAAAGTTCAAACCATATAAACAAGCCTCACACACTAGTCTAAAACCCACCATTCACCATCCATATTCCTGTGTACTGCTGCTACCTCTACTCACTGCCCATGGAGCTTGCTCTATAGCAGGTCTCTTCCCTCCAAAACAGGCATTTTTAACATGTGATGTCAGTCATGCAGCTGCACTGTTTGAGGTTGTGACCTTCTGTGCCTAACTCCCCCTGCATCTCTTTTTATTTCTAGTCTGCCCTTCTACATGTGCCTGTGTTCCTCTCACAACATACATGCTCTCAGCCCTACATGCAGGGTTTGCAGCTGCTGTCTCTCAGGGCCCAAAAGTTCCACTCCTTATCAGTGAAATTTTACCATTTCCAGTATGTGCTTGCTTACATACCCTGCTAGCATGCTGGGTATTCATTAGGCAGGATTTGGTCACATCTGGTTTTACTCCTTACCTCATGTTTGGTTACCTTCTGCTCAAAAACTGTAACTTCACAAAGATGACTGCAGGGTTCTTGTACTAAAGGTTCAGTGCCACTGTAAAATCCTCAACATTTCTTCTTCCTAAAGAGGTATAGGGAAGACAGGTACAAAAATAATTTGTTCATACTCTAGTTTTGTAATTATGCTGTAGAAAATGCTAAGAGCTTTTTCTGTATTTAACAAGATTTTAATATTTTAGATTTATTCCTCACTCACTAATCTTATGAAGTTGTCAAAACCAGTTCAGTTTACCTGCCTGTGAATTCCATAGAATTCTTTGACTTAAAGAAAAGACCGTGTGATTAAAGATTATTATCTTATGTTTTTCAAGCAATAAAATATCTTTTGAAAATCTCCCCAGTAAACAGGAATAGTATTATTAATAGCAACAGCCTGTAACTTTTTTTGTGAGTTTAGTAAGCTCATAAATTGAAGCACAACCAGCAAGGGATAGGAATAGATATAACATACTGCAACAGTGAACAAAACTAATTTTATTTGAGCTTTCAGAATAAATATTGTAAAAGTAAAATAGTTCATAACAATTCTGTATATCTCCCTGGTTTCCAGTGAACATAAATATAACTCTTGCATCTCTGAGTTTTTGATTTTATTCCACTAGAAGTCCCTAACTGGAATAGTAGATATGGAATAGCTGCATATAGATACACTTGCTTCTGTATGTTCAAACAAAATATGGATTGAGGGTAAAAAGACAGAGTTGAGAATAAGTGTTCCTCATATAGCAGAGAGGTGTTCTCTGCTTTCCTCTTCTAAATCATAAGTAAGTCTAATGAAACTGGGTCAGATCTTTTTGTTTCCTCAGTTTTGAATATTGAGATTGGGCTCTGAACAATGCAGCCTCACCCCTCACAGCATCTGATTTCATTTAGTATAATTCAGCCCAGAAAGTTGCCACATTTGTCCTGACAATAGTCAGGCTTGAACATACATTTACAGATGGTTGTCAGGAGAGTTCTTATCTTGCTTTGCGTTAATACAGTGAAACGTATCTCTAAAATGTGTTAATTAAATTTGCTGGAATTACATAACTTGCAGAAAAAAAAGTTATAACTAGAAAAAAATGCATTTAAATGTATTTATGTATCTGCAATAAATCTTTTCCCTGTGTACTGCGTAATCATATTTAAACAATGAAGCAGGATAGTACTGTTCCTTTTGAAACTGGCAATGCCTTTGATTTATTTGTAAGTATTTGTTTCCAAGTTACTGCCAGAGTTCAATCTCTTTTCCTTAATCTCTTTAAATTAATCCATCTACTGAACAAATACTGAAAATGTTGTGATGTGAACATCAAGAATTTATATACCTCCCATTAGTGTTGGGTTTGTTTTAATAAATCCCTTCCATCAGACAGATCTAGAAGTCTGTGTAATCTTTTGTAAAGGTAAAAACAGTATTAGAATTGCAAACTAGACACTAAGAAGTACATAAGTGCTTTATAAACTTGTTATGATGCATTTCCTACAGGGTTGATCCGGTGCCCCATGATGCTCCTAAGCCTCCAGGATATACACGATTTGTCTGTATTTCTGATACTCACTCAAGAACTGATCCCATCCAAATGCCATATGGAGATGTGTTAATACATGCTGGTGATTTTACTGAGCTGGGACTTCCTAGTGAAGTAAAAAAATTCAACGAGTGGCTAGGTAGGTATTTAATTCCATATGGATTTTAAAGTAAATTTGTTTACTGATTGTATTTGCCCTTTCTGCCTCCCAGTAAAAACCACCATGTGCTCAGAAATGATGACTATTACTTGAATGGTAATGAGCAGGAATCAGGTGGTTTGGGGTTTTTTTTTGTGTTGTTGTTTTTTTTTTTTTTTTATAAATAGTTTTGCATTTTTCCAACTGAGCAAATAAGATTTGTGATTTGTGAGACTATTCATCTGTTCTGCCTTCACACTCTCAAGTGTACATTAAGCAACTCCTTGGTGTTAGCAACAATTTAAGTCAGTAGGCCTTTAATGATTTACATAAAACCTCTTACATACATTGTTATGGCTTTGCTTCCTCACAAAAAAAAAAGTTGTTGTGACTGAAAACATTTGTCTGTTTAACCCTGGAGGCTCATAGTTTAATTTTTTTTTATTTGAGGCTCAGCTGCACCACAGTGATGAATTCCAAACAAAGCAAAATGTGTGCCTGTGGTTGCTGTCTTGGATGTAGCAGACCAGATGTAGGTGCCTTCTGTAGGCAACTGTTGGCATTGCTAACTGAAATTCTGTTCCACTGGGCAAGAGAGTGGTGATTTACATGTGCTTCTGCAATGTTCTGTATGTGCTAAAAAAAAAGGCAGTGAAAATTGGAAAGCATACACTGTATCCAGACAAAAACCTTGATGACTATTGTTCCTGTAGCAGTGCAGATACCTTAATTTAGAATAAAAATGGATTCTGGATTCTGATAGTTCATTATCAACAAAAAGGATGAGAGGAAATGAAAGAGCTGGAGAGCAAAAGGACACGGTTTAAGGGTGGTGGATTTCATCTTTTTTGGGTGATTCTTCTTCTTTGTAGTTGGCTTTTTTTGCATTTTTCCTGTCTTTTTATTGCTACATATTTCAGCATTCCACTCTGGGAATGCACAAAGGAGACAGATGCATGTAGGCTGAAGTGGAATATAAAAAAAAAGTCAGGAGTTGACAATTGAAACAAATATTTATTAGCAAATAATTATCAGCAAGGCTGATAAATATTGATTTGAGCTTGGAAACCCAGTAATACGCCCCACATGGAACAATTGTATTGTTCAGTGAGTGTTAAGGTGTGGGCAGCATGTGGAAGTAACAAACTATTACAGTGCCCTCACCTTTGTCTCTGTACCCAAATGGAACAGATTCGTTGTACAACAGAAAGCAAATTTCCATCTTATTTTGTAGGTCTCTGTCATGTATTATAATCGTGTAATGAAAATAGCATCTAAAGATTATATAAACCATATGGTTATCCCTTCTGAATAATGCCCATTTTATATCTGCAGGTGTGGGAAGAAAAGTGCTTTGGGATATTGATAGCAAGCAAGGTTGGGGGCTACACACATTCCTTGCTGCACAGCGTTTGTCTCCCTAGTCCTCCATCTGCCTCCCTGCTGGCCACAGCTGTACACTGTTCTGAAGGAGTCCTTAAGCTGAAACCCTCTCAGTATGTCAGGGAGATTTCCCAAGGCATTTCTGTGATGGTCTCTTGATAATCTTTATTCCAAAAGAAGGCTTAATTTTCTGACTTTTCAGGCATGCTTCCAATTTCATGGTAGTGTGTGGTTTGGGAAAAGGTGATCTTGGAGTATCTTTGAGATATGCAAATTTAGCAAGGTAAAGATTTTTTTAGTTTCTTGGCAGTTGGAAAAAATGGAAAATGTAACAGTTCTCTTAATTCTGGAATATCCAGTAGAAAAGTAATTTGGCATCACTACATAGATTTAATTCAGCTCGCATTTAAAGTTTTGCTCCATTTCAAAACTGTAAACTTTTTAAAAACTACAGTCAATGAGATTTCAGAAAGGAAAATAGCTTTCTTTGAAAGCGTTTTGGTTGTTTGTTTTAAACAATTTATCAATTCTTTAATACCTTGAGTGTTTACAAAATCTATAGTAAATGGTAAGATGGTTAAAAGTGTTCTCTTTGTGAGGAAATTTCAAAAGCTTTTGCTGGTTGTCCATTTTGTTGTGAAAGGCACTAGCCTCCACAATTTTGAAAAATTTTGATTTTTCTTGATGGCTGTTTCCCGTACCTGCCATGATTTTGGAACTCCCACAGCCCACCCAAACTTCTCCTTCTTTGTTGTTGTAACATGTTGCTAGTTTCTTGAGAAAGCAATTGAGGGAGTCTGTTATGGACTTTAACCTCCACTGTCATTCCTAGGTGCTGCTGGCAAGTTTCCCTCTCCATTCCTTCATTCCATAGCACAAGGATCACTTTCCCACTTATTTTGTTCTGTCAAATCTGTCTTCTGCTATCATTAGACTGCAAGTTTGTTCATGCCTTTGAAGAAACACTACAGTGTTTGTTTGTTATACCTTCCCTTCATCTCAGCTTCCTCTTAGGCAGTAGATACATATCCTACTCTTGCTTTTGCAGTGTATCCTTTTGCATAGCATTGGTTCCTACCTTTTATCTTTCTGTTCTGTCATACCTTCTTGGGACTGTGCCACTCTGGTCTATCAGCCTATTTTGGCTTTTCAGGAGGCCCTTCAGCAAGTTCTGATTTTATCTTTCTTGATAAAATTTGATGCAAAGTTTATTTTACATTAACGTCATTAACTTCTATGGACCTTATGGTTGCATGGAGCACATGCTCAAGTGTTGTGCTAATAGAGGCACGTTGGCTTGCTGAGTCATACCCTAAAATATGCTCTCTTTTTTAGGCTAACTGTATGTGGGTACACAGGAAGGCCTGTACTGGCTCAGATAATATGTCTCTCTAGCCCACTACCCTGACTATGGCTGGCAGCCAAGGTGCTCTGCTTTGTCTGCCCCTTAGTCACCTAGTTTTATACATTTTATCCTCTGGCTCCATTTAATTTAAGCCCTCCATTTACTTAAAGTTCATTCTTTTTGGTAATTAGTTGTTTTCTTTCACTTTTCTTTTCCTCAAAGCCTACTCCCCCCTTCCCAGGGAGGGATTTGAGGTTTTATTAAGGTTAGGTTGTTGCCTAACTATATGGAGGAGATTAAATGCTGATGATAACTGGATGTGTGGATTTTCCCAGCTTCATCTCTTGTGTAGTCCAGTGTTTGCATCAGAGTTCCACAGTGTGATACGGATTGTGTGAGGAACTTTGCTTATTTTGAACCTGTCACCTACTAGTTTCATTTGGTATTTTGTAATACTGGAAGAGGCAAGTGAATAATTTCACTCTTCATTCTGCTTAAGAATTTGTAGGCTCTTCCCATATCTGCCCTCAAGATATTTTTTCAGGCTGAGGACTGTGTAGAAGTCCTTAAATGCCTTTAATCATCTGTGTCATTCTTTGTAACTCTTTTGTTCTATATCCTTTTGAAATTGGTGAGACCACAACTGGACATGATCTGAGGACACCACAGATTTATCCCCTGGCATAATGAAATTTCCTAGCTTGTTCTCTTTTCCTTTCTAGTGTTGTGGATTATTCTGTTTTTATTTTGGACTGTGACTGAACAATGAGATTTTCATAAAATTGCCTGTTATAACTCTGTGAACTCTTTCCTGAATGGTAATATCTAGTTCAGAACCCATCAGTGTGTATCTATAGTTGGTATATTTTTTCCAGCACTTGGATTATTCTGCATAAATTTATATTCAGTTTCATCTGGCCTCTTATTGCCCAGTCATGCAGTATCATGATGTGCTTTTACAAATCAGTTTTCTATTTTGCCACACTTACTTCGGGTAGCTTAGAAAGAAGAGAAAAAGGGATGAATAGTCAGTTTACAAAGCTTGCCAATAGTGCCAACCTGGTCGTTTCCCTCCCTTTCCCAAATAGACCTTTCTCCTGTTTTTATATTTAATCTTTTTCTTTGTTTACCTAGTTTCTTCTCTGTCTGCATTTTTCCTCCAAATATGAAAATCCAGTTTTGAAGAATGGGAAACAAAGTACAAAATAAGCATTATGGTAGGGTCAAACAGAAGGCTGCAAAGCCAGTGAAACTTCCTAAGGACATTGCAAGGATGCATGGTATAACAGCTTTGAACACATGCTAACTTTCCAGGGGTAATTATGTCTGGGAAATTTTAATGACACCGCTTTGAACAACTGAAGATAATTCAGAGGAATTGCTCCTAAATACATGAACCTGTTGGAACGGGTCCAGAGGAGGGCCACAAAAACAATTGGAGTGCACCTCTTCTATGAAGAAAGGCTGGGAGAGTTGGGGTTGTTCATCCCATCACTGGAAATGTCAAAGTCAGGTTTGCTTTGAGCAACCTGATAGTGAAAAACGTCCCTGCCCAGGGTCAGGAGTTGGACTAAACGATCTTTAAAGGTCCCTTCCAAACCAAACCATTTTGTGATTCTATGTAATCAAGGCTAGATAAGGTAGATTATATCCTAACACATATCAAACTCTCTGTGCACTGTAGCTACTCTCATCCTCAGCTTTTTCATTTGTTTTGGTTTTGTTATTTATTCCCTACCTGCACATAAATCAAATGTGTTGTAGGACAAATAGAAAGACACGTGTCCTGCTTTACTGCACTCGTCAAATAATAACTTCAAAACCGTCTCTGTTTTTTATCTCCTATATTGTTGGCAACTAGAAATTGCCTGCTTGGCTCAGTTGCTTTTGTAATTCCCTTTGCTCAAGACTGTAATTCCATTTCCAAATTGTGTATGCTTCAGGACCCACCATCACTGTGAGCTTGTGGGTTACTTTCCTGGAAATTTAACTAAATAGCAAATCTGTGATACAAGCAGCAACACATACTTCCATACTCTACCTGAGAATTATCTTCTGTCCATGGATCAGAAAGATTACTTAAACTAACACATTTTTAATATCCATTGTTTCAGTGTGTTTGCTTGAAATTTTCCAATCTCGAAGACAGTCTTCCTATTTGAAATTCAAGTTCAAGCTAAAGTTGAAATAAAAAAAATAGAAGGTGGCTTTGTATTGTAGTTGAAAACAGTAATTAGCTCTTTGGAGCATTTGCCTGAAAATGTTAATCTTA